AGGCGCCCCAAAGTTTATTTATGTTGAGAGAGAGAGAGCAGGGTAGGGACCGAGAGAGAGAATCCCAAGCAGACTCCACACCGTCACTGCAGAGTCCAATGTGGGGCTCCATCCCATGAGCCATGAGATCATAACCTGAGAGAAAATCAAGAGTCAGATGCTTAACCGAATGGGCCATCCAGGCGCCCCTTATTTCATTTTTAAATATTGCATATTACTGAATGTTGGAGGAGATATAGAGCAAATGCAAATTAAAATCTCTCTCTCTGATATTCTCCTTTGGTAGGTAAATTATCTGCATATACCAGTTAGGATGTTGTAGCCTCCAAATCTCTGAGAAGCAACCAAACTGGCTTAAACAGGAAATCGATTGCTCACCCCTACTCGGAGGGTATGGACAGCCACTCAGTCAGTGGCTCCCAGCTCTGATAGCAATCGCTTTGGCATCTGCCTTCCTTCAAATAATGGTTTTATTCTCGAGTTGGTGGTAACCTAGGATTTCGTACTTCTGAGACCCGCTTTGAGACAGGTGATGTTCTGAGCAGGAGAATAGAGTCGTTTACAGAAGCTTCCCTGGAACAGCTAGAAAGAGTTTTCTTGGGGTTCCCCTTCGGGCTTGCCTTTGTCCCACATCTCATCCTGTGGATCCCACAGTGGGCGGCCTGGTCCCAAGGCTGGTCCACCCCCACAGCGGCGCCACTTTCAGCGCAGGGAGGAACATGCATGGCAGGTGGAGAGATCTCTTGAGGACCAGCTGGGATTTCACTGTCCGCCGGTGAGGTTCCCGGCCTAGCGTGGCCAACTTTAGTGTTTAAATTTTGTTTTGGTTCCTCACTTGTGCGGATGAGTTTATATTGTGGGTGACGTGTGCATAGTTGATTACTCAGTCTCTCACAACAGTGGGATGACCAGGGTGGAGGCGAGTGAGTCTCAGGCCATGGCAGAGAGCCCAGCTTAAGTCAACTTGCTCTCTGGATTGTTTGGTCTTGCGGCTGTATTTTTAGTGCTCTGCCTTCGGCATTAATTCACCGTGTGCTTACTGAGCCCTCAGCTTGTCCCTGGTCCTGCTCCAGGCTCTGGAGACAGGGCGGTGAGCCAGGCTGCGAGGTTCCCCTCTCTCGAGCTCACGTCTTAGAGGAGAAAGGTCAATAAACAGATTAACGAAAGGGATCCCTTAATAACGGGAAGTGCCATGTAGCAAACCAAATGGGATGCTGTGAAACAGAGGAGCCAAGGAGTAAGGGAAGAACGGGCATCGTACTTTGCAGGACTTGTTGTTAAAGAAAAAAACACAAAAAGCAACAAAATAAAAACCCACCATGGAGGGGTGCGATGCTGGCCCCGGGCAGGAGGCTGCTTTGGCTACACGGTGGTCAGGGAAGACTTCTTCACCAGTGACTCTGGGAATGGATTCTGATGAGTGCTGAATTCCAGCCATGATCCTGGGGGATAAGCAGTGTGGCTTGTCACGGACGCAGCAGATAGGGACAGCCTGGGGACAGAGGCCCAGAGTGAGGCCAAAGGGCAGAAATACCATCGAAGCACATCAGATGGCATAGGCGACCTGCAGAGGTTCAAGATCAAAGCTTGTGCGGATTTTATTCTCTGCCAACGGAAGGTCTGAAACAGAGGCATGTTGTGACTGTATTTGTGCTCGGAGAAATTCACTCTGGTGTTCGGGCAGGAGGAAGAGAGATCCGTGGAAAGACTATTCCAGTTACCTCGGGGGTAGAAAAAGATCCAGACTCAAATGAACATAACCGAGAATCTTTGTGTAGATGGCGAAACAAATGTTTGTATCCATGGGATCATATTTATTCTATTGAATCAAACATAGATTGTATCCACTGGATGTCCGTGGACTTTGGGTGCCTTACTATTTATCACACTAAGCTTGCGTGTCTACAGTGTATGTGAAATACAATGTCACGTAGTTATGTTTATTTAAATGTGAAAATACCTGCAGTATTTCTGTATCAGGAGAACTCACCTCTGCTCAGTGTGGCCCCTCTTCTCCCTCCAATCTGATGCCTTGTGGGCTCTAGTACAAATTCGACGCTGCCCTGCCTGTCCTTAGGAGCTCTGAGCCCTGATCCGGATGGTGGACGGCCTGTGGTCCTCCCACACGGCCAAGACTGCCCCACCCCCCTCGGTGAGCTGCTTTGCCGGCCCTTGGGCCCAGGAAGACCCTCACCAGGACTCTCTGCACCTCCATCACCGAGACTGTCACCTGCCACCAAAACTACCACTGCCTCCTTTTTCTCCAGGGTGCCAGGGTCTGCGTGCTTTTCCAGGGGCGGCGGCGTGAGCCCCAGGGTGCCAGGGTCTGCATGTGCATTTGGGTGTCTGCACAGCCTGCCCTCCACCCCCTGGGCCCTCCACACACTTGCCGGACACAGGGAATGGGAGAGCAGTGGCAGGTACCAGGGCGGGTATGGGTCCAGACCCTTGTCCCAGGATCAGGCGGGTCCAGCTTCTATAGCTGGCAGCCATCTCTCTAAGCCTTGGGTTTCCCCTTTGTAACGGGGGGTAAAGGTGCCTCCTGTGTTGTGTTGGGGCAGGTCCCCAGACTGGACGCAGGGCCTCCCTTCCCGCAGCTGTGGAGTCTGGGAGATCTGGGTGTGGACACCACCGGCTTCCTTGGAGTCCCCTCTCGTTGGCTCGTACATGGAGTCTGCTCCTCCTGTATTGTCCTGACTGCCACTCCTCATGAGAACACCAGCCAGACGGGATTAGGACCCTCCTCCAAGATCTCATCTAACCCTATTCACTTCTTTGTTTTTATTTTTCAATTTTTAAGTTTATTTACTTATTTTTTTGGAGGGGGGAGAGAGAAGAAGCAAGGGAAGGGCAGAGAGAGAGGAGGAGAGGATCCCAAGCAGGCTCCACGCTGTCAGTTGGGAGCCCGATGCGGGGCTCGAACTCACAGACTGTGAGATCATGGACTGAGCCACCCAGGCGCCACAAACCCTAATCACTTCTTTAAGGACCCGGTCCTCAGTGGGGGGTGGGGACTTCAGTGTGACTCCGAGGGGACACGGCTCAGCTCACAGCTCCCCTCGGAGAATTACTGCACATGTCACGTGTGACCACTCACACGAAGCTCTCTGTGCCGTCCGTGTGGCAGGCAGTTTCTGGGTGACGTGGGCTCTGCACTGGCTCCCGTTGGAGGTGAGGCTGCATGGGCTCCGCAACCAGCCGCCATCTGCACGCTGTTTCCCAGGCCCTTGGTCCCTCGCTGCTGCTGTTGTGTGGGCCGAGTCACAGGCCTGTGTCTTGTCCCCGCAGAGGATGCATGCTCTCCAACCGGGACTGCTCTTGTCCGTTTGCAGATCTCTCTGGCGGGTGTTACCAGGGGGACACCTGTACCAGTTACGAGTTGAAGGAGAAGGTGTGAAGTTCACTGGCGGGATGTGTTCATGGTCTGCGCCAGCTGCATGCCGGCTGGGGGGACGGAAGGGCGGAGAGTGCGAACCCCAGATGCCCTTCGTCCCGCCTCCTTCAAAAGCCCCAGGAAGCACTCATAACTTCTGGAACCCGACGAAGCTGAATCCCTCAGATCCCAACTCTGCCCAGAGTGGCCCCTGTTCTCGCCAAGTGATACAACCTCTCTGAACCTCCGTGTTCCCCTCTTTTCTTTTCTTTTCTTTTCTTTTCTTTTCTTTTCTTTTCTTTTCTTTTCTTTTCTTTTCTTATTATTTGTTTTGTTTAAGTAGGCTTCATACCCAGCACGGAGCCCAATGCAGGGCTTGAACTCACAACCCTGAGATCAAGACCTGAGCTGAGATCAAGAGTTCAGACGCTTAACCCACTGAGGTCCCCTGGTGCCCCGCGTTCTCCTCTTCAACCTTGACCTCCCCTACCTCTGCTGCACTGTTTGGTGGTAGTTTCAGAGACCTACTCGGATTACCCGAGACAATACAGGGCAGTGGGGTGTAAGCGATCCTCTGGGGCCCCCTCACCTTTCCTGCCCATGTCACGGGCCTCTCGTGAGCGCCCACTCCACTGCCTAGCCCTGGGTTTGGTGTCCAGCCCCGCTTACTACATGTTTGTGCATTAAAGACATCATGTGATTTGGGTCCACTACTATTCTGCCTTTAGGTTCAAATTTACTCTCTCTCAAGAGAGTTTGAAATTGGTGGCTTTCTTTAGAAACGGGGAGATTCTTTAGTCAAAGAAGGCTATAGAGCCCCCGTCTGCCAGGCGTCGGAGAACCCACAGCCAAACACAGCCGGAAATCTGTGCCCTCCTGGAGCTGAGATGGGGGCTGGGGACGTGGAGAGAAGCAGCAAACACACAGAAAACCCAGGGTGGTGAGTGCTGGGCAGGGGGTGAGGTGGCCGGGTTGGGAGGGGCCGCGCTACAGTAAGTGGCGGGTCCCGGGGGCCTCCCGAGGTGACTCCTGAGCAGAGACAGGAGGCAGTGGAAGGAGTGAGCTTCCAGAATCTTTTGGGGGAGACACTCCCAGGCAGCGAGAAGAGGAGCCCAAGAGGCCAGAGGTGAGAATAAAGACACATGTCCCCAGGGTGGCCTGGGGCTGCGGCTTGCTGCGGCTTGGGGGGGGGGGGCCTGCGGGTGGCGTGGAGGCCCTGAGGGCTCCAGCAGCCACCTTGAGCGAGCACAGAAGGAACCAGAATGACCGGAGCAGAGGAAGGAGGAGGCTGACAGTGCCTATGGTGACTGGCTGCCTTCTCAAGTGGGGGGGGGGAGGCCACAGGAGGCAGGTGGGGGAGGGGAGGGGCCAGGTGGAGGCTGCACAGTCGGAGGGGGAGGAAGGGAGGATGGAGAACCCTCCTTTCTCTGTCCCGTGGGAGACAGAGTCTGTTGGCTTCAGCTTGGAGAGCTGAGTCCCGAGTCAGATTCCGGTCACCGCGAGGCTCTCTCACTGATGGTGACCCGGGTCGCCCGGTGCAGACCATGTCCTTGCTGAAAAGCATTACATCCATGGCACCACCCCTCTGCATTGTCGCTCTCTATGGCCTGTGCCAGATCTGGGCGTCCAGATGGGCGCACACATGTGAGTTCTTCTGCTTCTGGATGAGACCACGCTTGTTTGTCTACACCTGGAGACCATCAGGGTGAGACATATTTATTTTATTTGCAGGTCTGCAAGTTTGCAGGACACAGCGCCAATTATTCTCTGAGCCTTTTCTGTCTAAGCTTTTAACTTTAAAACCCCATTTTTATGTATCCATATTGTGCCTGATCAGGAAAGCTTCTGTCTTCCAGGGATTTTTTTCTCCCCTCCTCCCCTTTTTTAAACTGTTATTAGGTACTAAATATCTCCTTGGAATGAGAAAGGTTGAGTTTAGAATGTGTTAGTAAGGCAATGGGTAAGAGAAGTATGAAATCATCCAGTTTTGAAACAATTTTGTTTGTCTCTGCGATGCCCGGAGGTACGCACAGTACCCGCCGGATTCAGAGGAAAGAGCAGCGTCCTTCTGACTCTTTCCTGTACGTCTGTCTGCCACTTCCCTCTGTGTTCTTTTCTCAAATCCAGACCCTTTTTTTTTTTCAGATGTAAAAAGCACAGAGGAACATTTCCTTCGGAAAGGTAGCCTGAGTTGCTGATGGCCCCCATCCAGGATATGCAGAAGTTTTAAAAAACGTTATTGCAGTTGAACATCTTGCTACATTTCTCCGCCCCCCCCCCCCCCGGTTGTCATTCCATCTTATATCTGCTCACAAACCCAACCAGCCCCCCACCCCCCAAGATGAGGACCACCCTTTACTCTTTTTCTGATCTGCTGAAGGTCCTTGTTTCATGTCTTGTACGTAGGGAGCCCTCAGGAGATATTTGTGGATTGTATTTGAATCTTCCCCCCAAATCCAGGTCCCAGAAATCGGGACTCAATGCGCACAAGCCCAGAATCTCAACCACTTCCCGCCCATTGCCTACCGCAGGACGTTGCATGTGGCAGGTAACCTTTTAAATAAAATTTGTGTCATTGTAATTCTCTCCGCTCAGGGTCACACCTCCACCCGCCACTTGAGATGTCCGAGGACCTCCTTGAGGGTGTCTAATTAACTGGAAGTGCTAAAGTGGCTGCGAGCTCAATTTTCCTTTTTCACCTTCATTTTTAAATTTCGAGGGCCTTTTGAGTCTTGGTATTTCGTAAGCTCTCCCTTCGGGGTTTGTTGAGATAATGTGTTGGGGTGACCCACAGCTGATCCAGGGGCGGTATTTTCTTTAAAAACCTCATTATTGATGAATTTAAGGTTACAATGGGCTGGGTGTCCGCAAAAGATGAATCATTCAGCAGGATTCGTGGAAAGCATCAAACTGTGGGGATGGGCACAATTCAGAAAGAGGAGAGTCAGTGACAAGCTATTTTGTATTTGCCTGGCAGTTGAAAAGAGGGTTTAAAATCATGGGAAGTCCCCAAGGCGCCCATTAATAGCCTATTCCGTGTCTTTGATTCTTGCAAAGTAAAGATATTATGCTACAGAGTCTCCTAAAATTAAGGAGACATGGGTGAAACGTATCACATTTGATTTACACACACTTTAGTTTTTTTTCATGAAGTCTGGTTAAGCTTGGAGCTTTTCTGTTATTTTACTGTTTGCATTGGTGTCTGGATAGATGTTTGCCTACATTTTAGCTTGTGAGAATGTGGTGGTTGTTGTTTTTCTTTCCTAGACCGGAAAACATACCAAATATCCTTGGTTTTCTACCTCAAAAATTCTTGGTTACGTTCTCTTGCTCACAATGTTTTGTATCCAAGAAAGATAAAAAGGAGGAGGGAGGCATAATCCCTGGGGGGCCTCTCCTGTCCACGTGAACTCAGCCAGCTGGGCGCTCAGGAACCTGGGGGGACTTGGACCCACAAACCTCCCCACCCCCACCCCACCCCCCATGGAAGGCGTGGGTGGCTCTTCTTTCTTTCCCATTCAATTTCCTGGCCTTGAAATCTGCTCTCTTTTTCTCTCAGTTTCCAACTTCCCGGTGGAGAATTAGCCCTCCTCCCCGGTTCTTTCTCGCCTCAGGCAACTCTGTCTCCTTTCTCACATCAGGAGAAAATTTCAAATGTGTACAAAGCCTCCAGTTCATTTGCCAACATCATTCTTCCATCTTCCCAGAAGAACAATTCTTCTCAGAAAATCTACTTCTTTTCCATCCTGGAAATTACAAGTTGTACCCTGATCAAGTAGATGCTCGTATTATTGGAGTGTGGGGACTCTCAGTCCTCAAAGCCACCATCCATGTTGGGATCGTGCATCTTTTATTGATTCCCTAAGTTTTTATCAAATTCCCCTTCTCTGTGCAGAATTGCCCTCCATCTGTGATTAATTCGAAAGGCCAAACCTATAGTGTATTTCATATTACCTTTTAGATACTTGTCTTCTGAGAGGGAGAAACAAAACTGATTTTGTTGACTTGTGCATAATCGTGTTGAGCTTTCCCATGGAAAGACACCAATGTTTAGGTGTGTTTATGTCTTGAAAAAAATGGAGTCGCTGCTGAGTGCTTCTTTCTGTTGGTAAAAACTGATAACAAGATTGAAAATGATGCGAACTTTCTATGGTACGTCTTAGCCTGTTGTCCTGGAATTGTCTGGGAATTCATATGCCTTCATTATCAGGCTGTCATTTTCTTGTGGGTAGGACTTTTGGATTTTCCTTTATATTCTCACACATTGGGTCATAGTGATCTTTCAGTTAATTTTTTTTAAATAAATAAAAGAATGATTTACCAGATATGTTTGAGGAGAATCTAAATAAATGAATGAGTGAGTGAATGAACGAGTGTATCTGGGATTTTTTCAATTGATTTCGATGCGGAATCAAGGTTTGGTTCCAGACTGAAGGGCATGTTCGCCTCAAAGATTGTCTAATTCTGTCCTCAGAATCCATTCTTTACATTTATGTGTGGAGGGAATAAAATAGAGGTGTGTGCAGAAGGGTTGAACACTCTTCATAAAAAGTGAGGAGAGATATGAGTGGAAAAGATGGTGGGCAGATGTGAGCCAAACAACTGTAGACTGTGAGGTGGCTGAAAATCCTGGGGGGTCAGAGAGCACAGGCAGATGGCATGGAATCCGGAAGGCACAGGATTCCATAAGACACTGTGATTTCTAGAACAATCTATACCAGGTCATATGACATGAAAACTGACGTCCTGGATTATGGGGCTCATGGGTGGGATTGAGAGTGGAGGAGAGGATCTAGTAGATATTTCCAAGGCTTCTAACAATACTAGACACAAGGGTATCAGTTTTGAAAAATAAGAAACTACTACTCCTGTGCACTGATTTATCAATTATGGAGAAAGTAGTGTGGTTTGCAAAGTGGAAAACACATGATTAAAACATTTTTTTCATGTTTATTTATTATTGAGACAGAGAGAAACAGAGCATGAGTGGGGGAGGGGCAGAGAGAGAGGGAGACACAGAATCCAAAGCAGGCTCCAGGCTCTGAGCTGTCAGTACAGAGCCCAATGTGGGGCTTAAACCCACAAACCATGAGATCATGACCCGAGCTGAAGTCAGACACTTAACCGACTTGAGCCACCCAGGCGTCCCATGATTAAAACATGAAAACAAGTAACCAAATGTGAAGTTGTCCGTTCCAATGTAGAATTGTGTGTTTTTCCCTAAATCAAAAAGAAACCTCTCCCCCACCCCCCCAAACCCAGACCCTCACTCCAGTTAGTTGCTTCTAGGACAGGAATGATTCTCAGGGTTCTAAAGTTTTAGGATCATATGCTGCTAATGACAGAAAGGGATTTGGAGAATACCTGTTATTTCTCTTAGGAAACAGACGAAGGCCAAGGGTCCCTGGTTCTTTGGAGGCGGAGACAGGACTCAAATCTGCTTCTCTTTATTGCTTTACTAAATCCTCGCCCACATCTGTTGGTGAAACTGCTGCCCCAGGCCTGAAGTCATCCCATAAAATGGTAAGTGATCCAAGCCTACCAATAACCTGTGTGACGTGTGTGTGTGAGACTGAACTGAACAAAGACAGAGGCATGGGTGTCTATGCATTGCAGCACGGAATGGCAGAGAAGGTTCTGGTAGGCAAGGCTGGAAACTGGGACTGTGAGGAGGCCAGGGAGCTGTCCACAGGTGATAGCTTGCTGCAGCCTCATAAGCAACCTCTGAGGTAGACCTGGTCCCACGTACATGATGGGGAGGCAGCCAGAGAGGCTGAATCCCCCCACCGGGGCTGTGCGCCTGGGAGGTGACCTCACTGTGATTCCAAGTGCGGTGGTATCTCTCTCCCAAGCTGTGTGTTTTTTGGTGGTGATGTAGGGTGACGGCGCGTGTGGTTTTGTGTGTTTTAGCGGTTGTGGTGACTGCAATTATGTCCCCCTCAAATTCATATGTTGAAGCTCTGCCTCTGAGTGCCTCAGAATGTGCCTTTATTTGGAGACAGGCTCTCTATAGGGGGGAAGCAAGTTAAAATGAGGCCATTGCCATGGGCTCTGATTCAATAAGACTTGCGTTTTACAAAGGGAGATTTGGAGATTGCCACTTGAACATGAAGACGGCCATCTACGAGCCAGAGACAGGGGCCTGGAACAATCCCTCCCACAGACTCAGAATGAAACAACCCTGCAGACACCTTGCTTTCAGCCTCACCCATTGGGCCAGCCTGTTATCAAGCCACCCAGCCCCTGGGACTTTGTGACAGAGGCCCCAGGAAGCAGTATTAGGGCATTCTCAGTTTTTATTGGCCTCTCTACAGAAGACATTTGTCCAAGTCCAGCACAAAGCTAACTAACATGAAACTTTCTTTTCCTTTATAATGGTAAAATATATAGAACATAAAACTTGCCATTTTATCCATTTTTAAGTGTACCATCAGCGGCACTGACTACATTCACCGTGTTGGGCAATCAGCACTATTCATTTTCAAAACGTTTTCATCATTACAGACTCTTTCTCAATCTGTCTGCTAGATGTATATAGGCTTCGCGGATCTGTTTCTGCACATCTCTGATTGCGCTTGTGAGAATATCTATCAAAAATGACATTACAAGGACACCTGGGTTGCTCAGTCGGTTAAGCACTTGACTTTGGCTCAGGTGATGATCTCACGGTTCGTGGGTTCGAGCCCCGCATCGGGCTCCTTGCTGACGGCTTGGAGCTTGGAGCTGCTTCTGATCCTTGTGATCCCTCTCTTTCTGCCTTTTTCCTGCTCATGCTGTCTCTTCGTCTCTCTCTCAAAAAATGAATAAATATTTAAAAACAAATTTTAATATCACTATTGTCAACTGGACAACCAGAATCCACAGCACACATTGGAAGATGCTGACTGTGAATTCTTCCACTGGCTTCCTACGGGGCCACGTGCTCTGCCCTCTCCCTGCTTCCTGTAGCACCTGCCAAGCCACCCTCTTGCTTTCCTTCATCCAAGCCTGCTTTGGCCACAGGGCCTCTCCCTCTGCACAAATGGTCTCTCAGGTGGCACTCAGCGTGTTCACTCAGGTTCGCTCTGAGCTCACATGTCACCTTCTCAGAGGCACCTTCCTGACCCCCCTTCTCAGAGGCACAGACTAACGCGGGGAAGGGGCAAATGCAAGAGAGGCCGTGCTGGGGTTCCTGATTGTTCTGGATCTCAGGATGCTACGCCTTCTTTCCTTGTTCTAAGCAAGTTCTGGTTTGAAAGAAAGAGTGTGGCTTCTAGGAGCTACTGGTGCTCTGTTCCCGGTCACAGACGTGACCTTAATCTGCCCCACACCCAGGAATTCTTGCTCATGGTCACCAAGGCACTCTGTCCCATGGAGAGGAAGGGGCTGCTGAGGACGGACGTGCATGTTGCGTACATCACCTCTGCTCACACACATGCCCCACTGCCCCTGAGACTTCATCGACAGATCACAAGTTCAAAGATAGAATGACGGATTTTAGGATGCGATGGCATTAAAGGGAAGTGCAGGGCCCATAAGGCAGCCTGGTGGCGGAGCGGGATGGACACAAATCTACAGGTTCACGCCTTCCCGGAATTGCCCCACATCGACAAATACACCCCCGTCACTTTCTTGTTTTATCTTCATGTCAACTCATCGCTCTTTGTTCAAGACCAATTTCTCAGCCTTGCCTGTAGAGCCAGCTTCCTCTCATGCTCTGCAAGGTCTGGCCTGGGTTTAATCCTGCTTCTCCTAGACTTTCCGCCTCTCACCTGGCATCACTTCCACATCTATACCCTTCTTCAAGTCTTCCTCACGCAGCGATGACAGTGGGCCCCACCGAGAAAACTCCATCTTCCCATGTGTCTCCCTCTCCCTTGCAACCAGGCTCCGGAATTCTTTCCCTTGCACCCTCTCGGGAACATAGTTTACAGGATGAGGTTCAAGGTCATTGCTCTGTTTGTTTCAACACCTATTCTCCATAGTCACCCTGCCTGAGTTCTGGTTCTCATTCTGCAGGTCACAATCCACGTAGGCACCAGCGAGTCAGGAGGGAATGGTTCTCAGCACAAAGTCTCATATTCTTTTATCCCAAGGGTGTCACTTGATTTCTCAAAGCCCAAGGGGCTGCAGCAAATCCAGGGCACTGACTGGCTGTGTTTACAGAACAAAAGACGCAGGGAAAAGTAAAACCATGACTACACAGTTGGGTGTTTGGATTTTAAGATAGGAAATAATTGAGATCATGAGGGTACCTGGTATCTGAAGTAGGATCATTAACCTGATATATTCAACCTGTACCCCGCATGGGAGCCCCTTGCAGCCACCCACCTCGGAACTTGAGCTTCCCAAAGACCTCATGTCCCACGGAAGGGGCGGGTCTTTGTCTCAGGGTCCAGGCTTACTCTGAGTCTCCTGAGACTCCCAGTAGAATTGGAAGCTGTCCTTAGGGAAGAGAGGAGTTACCTGAGGATTGGCAGGAGCCTGCCGGTGGGCGATTCCTAACAAGGACCTCAGCAGTCACTGCCCAGCCAAGCTGAACAGAAATCAGGGTCCAACCTCAGGAGGTCGGAGCCATGAGTCAGAGACTCTGGAGGACCCCTGGGTCCTGACTGGGGCTCCCTGAAAACAAGGTCTGAGCTCATCAGACCCTGCTGACACCCTCAGGGAATAGCCACAGGCAGGTGAGGAGGCTCCTTGGAAAGGCCAGTGAGGCAGAGGCAGCTCCTGGTCATGCAGACCCTCCTCTCCCCGACACCATCTCGGGAAGGAGACTGAGGTAGGATACGACCTTGGAGGAGATGCGACCTTGGAGGAGATGGTGTGGTCCCCTAACTGGGCGCAGATGGCCTTGTAGGGATGCTAAGACCTCCCTGGACAAACATCACCAACGGAACCAAATGGTGCCTTCACACGCTGACTTATTCAAGCAGGTGCCGGGTGCCACCCATGTGGAAGAGCTCAATCAGCTCGTCTCCTGCTTGCTGGGAACATGAGCTCTCTATTAACCACTGCTCACACCTTCTCCACGGGTCACCCAGAAGACAGATTTCTCTCCACAGGCCAAGAATATCCTGAGACACCTCTCTCTTCACTGCGTGGACACCATACCAACAGCTCAGGAAATGCATGTGCCCTTAATGAGAAGGTCTCTCATCAAGGTGGAAAGGAAATCCTTTGAACTCGCATTGGGTGGGACTAGACAGTTGGAAAATCTGCCTTCCTATCTGGAAAAAAAAAAATGAAATAGTGCAAATTTTCTAGTTCAAAAAGTCCTTGGGTCCTGATAATATATTATAGGATTAACATTCTGCCCTAGTCTTAACTCTGACCAGTACTCCCCTGGGCTATTCCCATAGCCAGAGGTCATAGTTAACAGTTGCTTTGTTTTAGAATATTTGACCCAATTGCATTATACGAAAAGCATAAAAGGAGACAGAGTTTTTTTCTAACATTCTTTCCTTCAACTATTATTATTACTACTACTACTACTCTAGTATTATTATTAGTATTATTTTGCAACTTTACAGGTTGAGATTCTGAATTTTCTTCTGGCTCATGTTTAGATTTTGATCAGTATCCTACGGGTTTCCAATCGTCGGTACATGTTTAAATAGACATGGGCACATGGGCTTGTCTGCTTGGGTGTTTAGTTCATCCAGCCTATGATTCTTATTTCTTTGGATTCTTACCCTACCCACACAAATAATTATATTAGCAAAGAACTAGAAGCTTCTTCTTTTCAGGAGTCATTGCCAAATTATTTTCTATAAAAATGTCAATATGTCAGCCCTCTGTACTTCCTTTTTTTTAAAACTTAAAGTAAACCAGGGGCGCCTGGGTGGCTCAGTCGGTTAAGCACCTGACTTCAGCTCAGGTCATGATTTCATGGTTCATGGGTTCTAGCCCTGTGCTGACATCTAGCTCAGAGCCTGGAGCCTGCTTCGGATTCTGTGTCTCCCTCTCTCTCTGACACTCCCCTGTTCATGCTGCCTCTCTCTCTCTCTCTCCTCTCTCTCTCCCTCTCTCTCTCTCTGTCTCTCTCTCTCTCTCAGAAATAAATAAAACATTTAAAAAATTAAAATACTCCAAATCCCAAACATAGAAGATGGGATGGTTAAAGAATACAATAACAAGAATATGCTAAAACAACAGAGAGTTCACATAGTTTTGTATAAGATGGCTACACCGCTTTTTGGTCATCCCCATGAATTCTACTAGACTGAGTTTATTTCTAGATTGGATGGTTTGCATAGTTAAACTTTAATTTTCACAGAACCCAGGGCCAAAGATCCTTTCTTAGTCACATTTTAACTCACCTGAGTATCTGCAACCCTTCAGTAAATGAACAAACGGATTCCCTGAGGTAGGGAATGAGGAGTGGACAAGGCCATTGAGAAAGTCTTCCCTTATTTATCAGGATATGTAGCCTTGGGCAAAACTTTTGATCACCTTGGTTTCCCTAATCTTCCAAAACAATGGGCTTTAACCTTTTGGGGTTTCTTTCCCCCAGAAGTGACTCTGTGACTATCAGTTCATGAGCACAAATCAGTATACTTTAACATTTTGTTGTGATAGGAAATACTACCACGTATGCCTTGGTTAGCCAGGCAGAATATTTTAATAGCTTGATTTCTACATATTGATTCCATAGGATGTAGACATTTTTTGGTTTGTATGTAGTGGGTTTAATTTACCACTGAAGATATAGCGATTTCTAAACTGTGCTTAGTGTCTTTTTAAAAAAATTTTTAATGTTTATTTATTTTTGGGACAGAGAGAGACAGAGTGCAAACAGGGGAGGAGCAGAGAGAGAGGGACATACAGAATCCAAAGCAGGCTCCAGGCTCCAAACTGTTAGCACAGAGCCTGACGCGGGGCTCAAACTCAAGAACCGCGAGATCATGACCTGAGCCAAAGTCGGATGCTTACCTGACTAAGCCGCCCAGGAGCGCCTCTGCTTAGCATTTTAGCCACACCACCTGAACATTCTTTAGGGAGATTGAGACCTCATGGACGTGTGACATGTGTAATAGCCCAGACCCCTCCCTCCATCCATAGCTCAGAAGAAAACCACACTTGCTTTAATGCTCTGCTGGTGCTGCCCAAAATTCTTAACAATTTTATCTTTGCCCTTGTATTTTGTACACGAGCAGAGAAGGTACACGCAACAT